TGTGCTTTTGAATAATATTTCATATATATATATATATATATATATACACGTGCGAGAGTCACTCCATTCTAATTCTAATCGACGGTTTTATCAACATATTTGTATTATGTTGTGAATATTATTATTATATTCATTGAAAAAACAAAAATGATCGCATTATATTCTGCAAATTTTAAGTGATAGGAAAGAATTATCACAAGTCAACCACGAAATGAAGTTTACATTACACCATTACCTATTATGTTTTTAAAGAAAACAAAAAATTTCATTATAAATTTCCAAATACCATGATTTCGTTTAATATCAAATAAAATAAAATTATGTTTTCCCCTTTTTAAATCGTGTATAATATGATATACTGATATAATGTTTAAAACCATTAAACGAATAGTTTTTATTCTATAATGTATTCGAATATACGTTTTAATGATAAATTTACCGATATGAAAAGTAGACTACATATTTCAATAACTATTATTTTGTCGTTTGGCCAAAAACATTATAAAAAACAACATATGATGTCATGTGTCTAAATAAATTATAGAGAATCGACAATATTTGTTACTTATATAACACTAGACGTTTTATTATCGATTCATTAGTTTCGAGCTATAGAAAAAATGCAAATACGAAAACGTCGGAAGGATCAGTAAAAATAATATATATATTCAGTTTATAGGTTCATCGATATACGTAAACTTTGTTTACTATTTACAGTTTTTCCATCGAGATTTTTTTCCTATAGTTTTATGCGTTTGAAAAAAAAAAAGGAGAAACAAAATTATATAGAACGCTATTAAAACAGATTGCCTGTTATCCGTTTCAATCATAAACTATAAAGCATCAGTGTTAACCAGATTTACCGAACTGAAAACATGTGATCAAGGTTGCTCAAAAATCAACAAAAATAAAACCAACGAACCTTCATCTCATGCTGACAAGTTTTTTTTTAAATTTGTTTAGGAAAAACTGTTGGGAATCTATAGACAAATTGTTCAAATAAAATACCACTGGAAGTAAAATCCGCATTTATTTAGGACAACATGATTGATTCGGATCATTTTTATTAGCTGACAAAGCCTTTTTTTAAAAAAAAAAAATATATGTTTGTAAATTTATGGCTTTTTAGTTGTACTTTCATAATCTAAAAAATGATTGAACTAGTCTTGTTTTTTTGCAGATGAAAATAATATTTGTATTTTATCTATAGAAAATTGTCGATCTTTTAATGATAAATGTAATAAGTAGTTATAATGAATATCCTATCTTTAAAATAAGTTATTTGTTATTATTATATAGGTTATCCGAAAAAGACGGGGATTTGTTTGTTTTTTAAAAAATTTATTTCGCTAAGAATTTGTCATCAAAGAGCATCGAACTCTAATTTCTCTTCTCAACTATGATGTATAATAATATTTATTCCTCTTGTATAGTAATATAAAACTAGATAAGTAGGTATTAAATTAGACGTAAACTTCTTCTCATCCCGCCATTATCGTCGGTAACTATACGTATTAGGTATAAATAATATTGTAGATGGTTTTTTTTTTTCAGAGACTGTAATGCAATTCTCTGTCAGCACGTGTTTTCCACATTTTCGAATAAAAAAGTTCAATTTTCGCGAAAAAACTATTGTATTTATTTTACAATGAATCATATTATATTAGAACACTCAAACCGACACACCATAATATTGTCATTGGACATTCGATAATACAATTATTGCCAATAAGTAATGTTAGTGCTTTTACGTGATTTCGCGAACGTATTTATTTTCAACGAAGGAAAACGTGAATGTCGTGATAAAATTTACCAAATTTCTCAATAGAAATAAGTCCAACCGACTGATGTGATGACAACGTAAGTTCCACCATCCACCATAATATTCTGTATATTATCGAATTCTGACCGCAGAGAAGTCTACCATATTCTTCAAATTGAATTACAAAATATGCTATGTCTCGTATAAAACGGAAAATTATAATATTATCACAAAGATACAAAGTTATACAATCGATGTTGAGATGGAGACAAGTGAAATTTATCAAGATAGAGATAATTATTGGACGGAATTTATCACAATACAAATATATATTTTTTTGAATGTTTTAATATTGATAGCATTATAGTGTGATGAAAATGTAGTCCCTGCGCACACAAGGCGATTGCAACGCGACGTGATTTCGATCTTTTGAAATTTTCTAGCAATGCGAATGGAAATCTACTAATAACGCGATTTGATAACAACGTGATTGCGATGCGGCTGTGACGCACGCGACGGACGACACGTGTGACCGATATTGCTGGTCGCGTCACACGAAACGCACGTAATTTAGATAGGTAATACAATATAATGGAGGGATTCAATATTAAATTTGTTGGTGAAGTTGAAAAATTGAAGTTCTCTGGCCGCTACAAAAAGCCGACAGTGGCGTTCCTTTGAATATAAGGATGGATCAAAAACTTCCTTCCTTGATCCGTTTTTCGTTTTTGTTTACTGACCTACGTTTTGTACAAATAGCACGTAATAATCGCTTCTTCGTTACTAGGTGAACTACACATTTTAAATATTTTTAATTGGTTCACAACGAAAAGAACAAAAACGGAAATAATAAAAAAATTATTTTCGTAAATTTTCCCGTTCTTTCTACATTTTTGTTTTCGCTTTTGCTCAGTTATTTAAAAAAATACTGAAAAATCAAAATAGTTTTCTTCCTCACCATCTAGTTTAAAAAACCAACAATACGAATCTTTTATTTTTTTTTAATTGGAGAAATATTTCTAGTGGAAAACATAAGTTTCGAAAATTAAAAGCAATGATGCACAGTAATACATATTTGTCGTCTTACCTGTAATTTATTTCGTCTTTTTACCAAGGTTTAAAACCTCTTGGAAAGTCAAAAAATTACCTATCACTGCCTGGGCCTGATTACGCATGTGCACGCGGTGCATAAGTACAAGAACCCGAAGAGGGGGTCTTCCACTCTATAAAAAAAAAAAAAATAGTACACTTTTATATTTTACAATATATTTTATATTTTTGGTAGATAGGTTAACGATTTTTAAGTGTTTAATTATTAATTAATTTCACGTATCAGAATGTTAATTTTTTTTAATTTAATTATATTCCGTATCTTTTATATTTTGTATTTTAACGTATAAAAACGCTCGAATACGTTTTACTTTGACTAAAGGAAAACTGAATAAACTCTTTATCGTTACCAGCAATCAATTGGTTTAAAACATTATTGTTGAATTTGCAAACAAAAATTACAAAAAAAAAAATACTTATTAAAATGAACTTTAAAAAAAAAAAATAATTGTGATTTACAGACAAACATTTATGGTATTTTATAATATTACAATCTCTTAAATATATATTTTTATTGTTTTTAATTTTTACCAATTTCTTTTTTAATTCAAATAGAGCCCCAAAGTAAGTAGTGCACAAGTCCTCTATTTACGTGTCCTGCTCATTACACAAACTAGACAAAATTTTCTTTTGAAATAGGTATTGTACTCTATACCTAGGAATAGTGGTATAGTGAGGAATTTTTTGTGAGTGTTTTTATTTTGTGTTAAATTGTAACTTTGTAACATAATTGAGCGATTATAACACACATAATATATACTTAATAATTATCCATGTGTAACACAACATATCTTATAGAAATCTGATGTGTAACTGCATAATATAGTATAAATTAGAATTTATAGCATAAATATGGTCAAAAGGGTGTGTTTGAACACCAAAACACCCCCCTCGCTACGTCACTGCATCAGAGTAAGATTTCTTTTCGAAAAGTTGTTTACAAGCAGAACAAAAAAGCACACATCATAGTAAGACCAATAGATCCCTCGCTACGCTCCGAATATAATAGAACTTCAACAGTTATTTAATGTTTTATAATAAATGTAAAAGTTTTTAATTCTAAGCGAAATTAGGAGTGTATTGGTTTTACTATGATATAACTTTTTGAATTCGTTTTAATGTTTTATGTTTGTAAAAAATTCTCTCTACTAGAAATCTTGCTCTAATTAAAAACTTTATAAATATTTTTTGTACCAGTTTTGATCTAGTTGGTTCATTGATATACATTTTTGATTATCCTTGTAGTTTTCCTAATTAATGGAATAATTTTCAAGATTTTGTTGAATTTTAGGTTACCTCAACAAGAGAAAAAATACGACCAATAGTGCTTTGCTTGGAATCGTTTTTCATTATCATTGGTTTATCTTTAAATACAGGTATAAATTCAATGTCTCTATTATATATATACTTGATTATCATTTCACTTCTAAAATAGTGGCATACACGTCCTCAGTATCAGATATTTTTTTAAAATATTTTTTCTCTAATGTACCTAAAAGGACACTTGTTAATTATTTTTTATCTTTTCTAACCAACGTTGGTTATCCAAATATTATCTATAGATTTATCACCAAGTTTAAAATTGGTCTTTTCTATGAATAACTGAGCCTTAGAATGTAGTTCAATTAACCTCCTAAGCATTATTCCTTGAGATAGCCATCTCATCTCTGTGTATAAAAGCAATTGAATATGATCACTTCCCATTTAAGAACACAAGTTTGAAAATAAATGTGATTGTAGAGTCCGAGATTTCATACAATTGACTATCCTTATGATTTCCTAGAATACTAGTTTTAACTGTTCTGGCATATACTTTACTACTAAAGCTTCCTTTAGATGCTGAAATGTATGAAAATATAATTTTCAGTAACCAATAATATTTTAGTCACAATACCTCCATATTTACCTGACAGCTAGTGCATCGTCAGAACAGTAGCCAACACACTGTTTCCAATTTAATCAATTTTCAATCAAAAATTGATTCAACTTTTTAAATATTTCGTTAGCAGTAGTTTGTGTTGATAGTGTTTCATAAAACAAATTCTTTAATTGGAGTTTTAAATACATACTCTACGTATGCTATTGTACTTTCATCAAGTTTTATAGAAAAAAAATCACTATTTTCCACTTAAGCAACTGACTTTTCTTTAACGTTTAATGCCTTGCTTTCAATCTTGCTGCAAACAGTATCATTCAACAATGATGTGATATCAAGCTGTTTAGCTGACGGTTCACCTAACATACAGGTTATCATATCTTTTGCTCCCGGTAAAAACAGTTCTTCACCGATGGTATACGGTTTTCCACACTTCGCTATTCTTAAGCTCACTAAGAAAGATGCTTCCACTGACTTTTCAATACCATCGGTAAAAGATGATATAATTTTTTTTGTGCTTTTCATCGCAGGCAATTTTCAAACGGGATAATCCTTTGGTTTTTTTTCTAACATCGAATGTTTTATAGTAAGGTGACGTTTTAAAGACGGTTTCATACTCTTTGGCTCAAAAGAATTCCAAAGCAGATAATACATTGAAGTCGAGGCTCATTGGTTACGACTATGGCTGTAAATCCAATATTAATTTACTCAGGATCATATTTCCTTATACATTTTCTTATTTTCATATGACTATTCATATCTTGACTTGCTCTATCCGATTTTGAAGTACAACTTATTGAACAGTTTTCAAATGGAGATTTGTTGTCTAATTGACTAGCACGAGTACACTTAACGGCCGAAGAGAAAATATTTAGTATAATATGCACCGTGCGTGTTGATGATTATGGCTTATCTTATTTATTGATGTATTTCTTGTGTTTATTATGTACGTTGTAAATAATTGTAATTGTTTTATAAATAATATTATAATAACCTTTTCAAACACAAGATAAAATATATATTTATTTCCGTTCTACCACTATGCGGTCTTCCATGTACCACCATGTAGTTATCCTCGTAACACCAGTGATACACGTACCATAGTTTGAGAACTGTTAAAGTAGACGATTTTCAAAAATATTTGAATTGCCTACATTGGTGTAGGTGTAGATAAAGATGTGCCTAGATGTATATTGCATTTATGTTTTTTTTAGTTAATTTAATTTTTGTTTATTAAAAACAACATTAGATAGGATTTTGAACAGTTCACGTAGTATAATAATACCATATTTATTAGGAGGTAAGTAGACGAATTAATGTTCTTTGACGTAATATGTTTTTTTTTTTTTTTTAGAACATTAATAAAATAATCGTTTACACGATTTAATTTATAAATGCGCGCGTACGAAAATATAACACGACCCGACAATTTTATTACGTTTCAACATAATACTTAGCGAAATAAAATGTAATTTAAGGTTAGTACCTGCAAGGAGATGAGTGGTGAGGGGAAGGGAATAAACGCAATTTAAATCGATAAGACTATTATTGTCGCGTCGCATGATTTAGCCGTATAATCATATAGCGTAAAAAAATTATTGACATTCAAAAACGATTTCAATTGTTGCATGCAACACGAAAGTGTTATCACAATAATATTACATAATACCGGAAAAGGGTTTAATTTTATTTTTTAAAACACATCATCGTTTTTTCTTTCTTTTTTTTTCACTAGGTGAAACTGACCCCAAATTTAGTCGTACACGATTTCAACCATAATAATATATGTTTACATATATTAGGTAGGCATATAAGTTTTATTTACAATTAATGAATTATTTCTGTTGTATACAACGCAAACATTGATTATTATTAGATTCTGCTTTTTTTCTGTCAGAAAATTGATATTCCGCATATTATACATAGTTTGTACTAAAACACTTAAAGAAATTAATTTTGTTGATTGAAAAGGAAGAAAAACAAAATTGATATATACTACGTAAACACACAAAAAAAAATTATGTTTTTTTTTTTTAATAATTCATAAGTTCAGTGTCCATAATAAATTCTATTTTTATTTTTTCAATCGAAACAATAATCCATAAACATATAAGTATAACATTTCATTTTTTTTTTTTTTTTTTTTTATATTACCTATTATGTATACTGTTTTGGATTTATAAAAAAAAAGGTCTAATAATTTACAATTGATTTTGTTTTGTCGATATACCTACCCACCTGCAGTAGCTAACAAATAGTTTATTAGCTCTAATTCAGGTTAAAATTTTAAATTGAAGCGAAATTGTAAGGAGGAAATATATATTTTTCTCAAACGCGCAGTTACATTTAACTCCCTAAGGAACATAACAAAATATAGTGCATCTATACATAAACTTGCACTATATATATCTATATATATCTATACATAAACTTATATATATAATTAATTATTATATTTTGAAATAATATTTGAACTCGAAAAAGGGTATATTATTACAAAAAAAAAAAGTTTTAAATACACAAATATAAAAATTATAGTCTTATTGTTATAGTGCCGAGTGATTAAAAAGGGAAGGTAAGGGGTCTAATTTCTTTTTTAAGTGAATATTATCTGCTCTCTTTAGTTTGATTAGTAAATCAAAAAGGTATCTTGTAATTTGTCGATCATTTTTTTTGGTAGAAAACGTCGTCCGTGTTTTTATAAAATAATGAAATTGTAAAATTGTATATTTTCCTACGTTTTTTCCCACCAAGGTGTTTTTATTTTAAAAAAAATGGCGTCGAAATTCGAATATGACAATCTAAACAACTTGTGCTTTCAGAAAAAAATCGGAGCAAGTTTACTTGATTCTACTCGCTACGCTCGGAATCTAAAAAAAATAAACATCTGTTTAAAATATTCTTCGATGAACTAAGAATCTCAAAGAGATTTTTAATTAGAGCTTAAAGTAATATTGTAACGCTTGCTTAAATATGTTTAGCTCTATTGTCGGTGTGAAGTTTTTCAATATTTATGGGATACCAAACGGGAAAATTAGAAAGACGATACAGCTGAATAGTTCTGTGATCGATTATTATACGAACGAAACTTTTATTTTACTATACTGTAATCATTAAACCCCCCGTCCGTTATCACATGCGAGATATAAAATGAACGGTAAAAACAAAATACACACAGTAAACTATAATATAGCTAAAATAACTCTTTTGTTTCGCCAAGGATCTAAAATAATAATATCCGTGCTAAATTATTATAATATGATCTACTCGATTAATATTGTTTTACAGTTTCCATATTATATATAGTTAGTTAATATGTTTGATTTAATAGCACAGTTTGCAATATTTCGTGCATGTTTGGTCTAATAAGCTTTACTGCGACATTCCGAACTTAATATTTCAAGAACCGTTTCATAGTTTGTGCTATACATATAGTTAAATACAAGAACCATAAATTATTTCTCAATAGTCAATACATTTATTAATTTACATACACATGTATTATCCGTATCGCTACCGGCCATCTATTTGAAGGTTTTGGGTTCGAAGATTTGGATATGAAAATTCATGTCTTATAAAAAAAAATGTATTTGATTGTGTTTGAGTTTAAAATCGAAATGATAATCATTGGATGTTGAACGTGATTTGGTTTCACGCATTTGGGATATTTCTTCTATAAATCATAATACATTTTCAAAAAAATCCAAAATCTTGGTCTCTCTTAAATTTATTTAAATGATCCTGAATTTAATTTAATAGCAAAACATGTAAGTGATTTGACATTTTTACAAGTTAATATAAAATGTATACATTTATTAATTCATTTAAATAAAAATACATTTTTATTTATATAAAAAGCCGTTTCTTTTTAAAATTCTATATGGGTGAATTAAATTAAAACAAATATGTGTTTGAAACTGGAACACAATAATGTTTAGTGCAATAGCTCAAGGTAACGTAAACGTATTCGTATGTTGTGGAAAAATCCAGCAAAATCATCAACAGATAATCCATCAGTGTTTCCTCCAGAAATGTAGTCGATACTTGACCGTTTAAATCTTGGTTTGCTAAGAAGTACGAAAGTTGCAGAATATTACCTTAGACAAATAAATGGTCTAGTTTCTTTTTTATTTTTGGTTTAAATGACATGAGTTTATCTACTTGTGTATATTCTAACGTTTCTAACATATTATGTTTTACTGAAATTAAATCATCTCAAGTTAATATGATTTTTTTTTTTTGACGAAAAAGGTCAAGTCATGTGTGCAATTTTGTGTATAATTATTAGTTATGTGATTTAAGATATATATAACATCATTAAGGCCATTTAGCAGAATTCATAATTTAATTTGATTGTTTAAAAAACAATATAAAATTTACTTAAGCCCTTTTTCTTTGGAACTAAAGATATAGGTATAAAATAATATTATACTTTGGCTAGAAAAAAAAAGAACACTCGTCAAGGGATGTTGGCCTAGATAAAAGAATAAGTACAGTTCTGTTCCGAAAATTGCACTACACTCGTACATATCATATGTCCCAGCAATGTACTTTTGACATCACAATTATTTAATTCTGCGCCATGCCGTCTAGTCGACTGACGTTGAAAAATAATATTCTACGAAAAGTTTTTTTACTTCACAATACGTCCCTGAGTCTAAAATCCACGATTTGTGATGGGCGTCAGGTTTACTGAATTTTACGAGCTGTTAAAAACCCGAGTTTATTAACGCGTGCAAATTAAAACGCCATAGAAAAAAAGCTGATTCTATTCCACACAAAAAACAAATGTAGAAAAGTTTTTTCATCAATAGTAATGTTTTAAATAAAAATGTATAAACATATTTAATAGTGAAATAATAATAATAAAATATTATATTATTTATAGTGTAATTTAACTAGTGTCGTACCTATTACACCCTTTTGAAAGCTACACCCTCGTGATAGGATCATTTTTAACAAAGGTAGTAATTATTTTATTTTGATTGTCTTCTTAATATTATCAACTATAGCTAACCTATTGAGTTTATTTATTGACATAAACATGGTCTTTTAATAGTGGAAGAAATACCTAAAAACGTAGTTAACATTCAAATCGTAAAATAGTATACATTAGGGCGGTCATTATTTGTACAGTTCAGAAATTTGATACAGAGTCCCTCCAGATTTATTCTTATCCTAATAAAAATAATGCGTATACAATTTGGTCTCAATTGATTAACTCTAAGATGTGTCCCAAAAGAGTTGAACTTGGAGGTAGTTTATCAGTTTTTTCTAATTTTCTCGAAAATAATTATACTGATGATAAGTGTACAGAATCTTTACTATTTATAATTATATTTTCTATAAAAACTGTAATTACGAAATTCCCTTCAAATATAGTATTTTACTAGAAAATGAAAGTAATACATGTTTTACTCACCATTATTGTCGGTTTTTGTTAGCTTCCGTATCTTTATTGATTAATTAAATACTATGTTGTTATACTGCGATTTTTTATAATGTAACATGTATTTAACATTAGATATTCTAAAAAAAAAAAATGTTCTACGATTACTGATTAGTTTATTAATTATAAACGAGTTTACGTAATTTTAATAATAATATGATTAATATATCATATAATACCATATATAATACCATTGTATGGTTAATTAAAATACAAATAAATGGACAAATATATTTTTAATTAATTATTTAATCATTTAATGTAATACTGTTATTATAGAATAATACCTATAACATTTAAAAATATTTAATAATTATTAACTAAATATTAATATTGTGAAATAATAGATTTAAACTTTTTTTACTTGAAAAATAAACTACTTCTGTTTTTCATTTTTCGTAAACTTGTTATAATCCTCCATAAGTTTGACCCCTCGTTTTTCCGTATCATTGACAACTTTTGTCAAGTCCATTATAAATTTCTCTTCTTTGTATTCCTGTAGTTCATTCTACTTTTAAGATTACATTCTTAGAAAATTTTCAGAAATAATAATTCTTTTTAATATGTTTTTTGAATTGGCACTTAATAGCTCTAAGAGTAAATCTTTCTTGAGAAAATTGTGTACATCTTCATACTTGACGGTATAATTTTTTTTGTGTATCTTTTTCCGGTTCTTCTTGCAACATTTTTATCGCCGGTTTTGTACGAGTATCATTATCAAGTATTTTATCGATTATCAATAAAGCAACACACTCTCCACTAATATATCATAAATGGATTTTATATACTATGTATACATACATATAAAACGAGTTATGGGAGTGCTTAAGGATCTCTTAGTACCTCCTCTTGTATATGCTTCTTAATCATAAAATATAGACATGCAAACTAATGACTTCACTTGTTGTCAGTATATGTCACGAAAATATAAAGGCCGACTTACTTGAAGTTATTACTTATTTACCATCCGGGTATTTTTTTATCTATGCTTAAATTATACAAATGAAAAGCTATATCGTAATGAAATTACTGTAGGTTTGCAGCAAATACCATTTATTTTTTTTTTTTTACTTTTTCGGTAAAAAGTTTGAATTATGTAACAGGGAACTCAATTTTGAAACTTTAGTTTTTTTTTTCGTATATTGTTTCTATTGTCTAAATTTTAAATTAATATTATACATAAGTCGAATCTATAATAAATAGGGCTAGAACGATAAAGTTAAAATTTTATCTTATTGTTCTATATACTTACAGTTTTATTAGGTACTAAATAAGCGTTTTAGAAGTAATTTTATAACGATATTTTCGGTTGCAAATTTGGTTTTCGTATTTATACATTGTTTAAGTACAAACGAGATAGTGGGTCAGGAAAGAGGGATTTTAGATCCATATACGCATTAACGAGCCCGCATAGGGTACGAGTTCCTGACTTTCAGCATTAAAATAAATATATTATTTTATAATGGGAACTTCGACTTTTTAGGAGGATTTCAAACTGCCTTGTTGGGACCAAAGTGCCGACACAGAGATTCACGAGATATGATCAATAGTGGTCCCTATACGGGGCCGGAAAAAGGGCACACTGGTCAACCCATTAATAAATTATTAATTCAATTTTTCTAATTTTAAATTTACCAGTCGGGACAAGAAGTAAGAATTTTGTTTTATTTTTATCCCGAAGTCGATAACGAAAAAAAAAATTTAAACAACTCGTATTAAATTTATCATAGCCGTAAGAGCGTAAGCGCAAATAACAAAAAGTTTTCTCAGGATAATGGAAACGGGTGCAGCCACTGTTGTAGGTGAGAAGTTGGGAAGGTAGGATGCAGAAATCGGATGGATACATTGAAATATTATACATGTATTTCATGTGTATACTTTTGTCGAAAACGAAGAACACTTACCTAGAGAGTTCATTGAAGATGCAATCAAAAAAAAAATTTAATCATAATGTTTCTAATTTCTACAAAAAAAACGATACTTTTAATAAAATGTTTATATACTAATTTATGAATCAAATATCAAATGTACCGACTTAATTTGTAATAAATAATAAAAATATTTTTTATAATACTAAAATATATGATTATTAAAAAAAAGTAAACCCCCAAAATTATTGTCTAGACTCAACACTGTACGTACTGCTTAATGCTTATAGATTGAAAAAGCAAGAAGTAAAAAAGACGTCTTAAGATAATGTAGTAATATTATGATAAAATAATTAAGTAGACATTATACATTTTTTATAATAATATTTGTTTAATATTGTACAGGTTTTCCCTTTTTTCCTAGTTTTCTCATGTTTTTCCCGATTTTTCTCACGTTTGTTGGAAAATTCTTGGGAAAATCGAAAAATCACTCCTTTAAAATCCCTTCCCAATCAGATTTCATTTCAAAAAAAGTGCTATCATTGTAAATAGGAGCAAAATTGTTTGTAGAAAAGTTGTCCACAAAAAAAAAATTAAATTAAAAACTATAAAATTGTAAAACCATGGGCTTTTTTGCTTAACTCAGAATTCTGAATAGCTAATAAAAAAATTGTTATTTTTTTTAATTTAGAAAATGATTTTTCAAAAAATTAATAGATAAAATCAGTACAACACTGATTCCCCTACATTTTTTTGAGAGTATTATGCTAGGTGGGAAAAATCATGTGCCCTAAATAAGGTATTTATATCTTTCTTACTATTTAAACTCTCATTAGAAAGCAATACTGAAATGTATAAAAAAATAAGATATCAACTACCTAATCAGTTATACCTTATACAAAAATAAAATGTATGTTACCAAAATAAATTACTACAAATTTGAAGGAAAAAAATACAGAGACAAAAATAATTTGTATTGCGAGATTAATAGCATAAGTGATTGAACGAACGGGCCATGATAATAATATATCATGGAATTTTGTATGTTTTAATTATTTGTGAGTATTTGCAGTATACGCATGATTTTCCAACAAAATGTTGAAAGGATACCGCGTATATGTAGTACACCCTATGGGAACACCACTGGATAGAACCTTTTCATTCTCAGCCCTCAGGTGACGAATAATAATTATTACATTTTACCGTTCGGGTTTCTCGACAATAATATAGGTATACAGCTGTACCTACCTGTATTAACAGAAACCGTTCGCCCTCTGCCACACGGGCCAATCATTATAATAATAAGTACAACTCTGCAAGCAAAATAATAATACACAGCGAATAAATGTTTTAGAGTTTAGACGTTATCGTTATAATATAGCTGCGAGTTGTTTTTGGAGTACAAAACATAATAATGCTACAACAATAATAATAATGTTATTAGGTATACCTTTTCTCCTACCCAAGGCACTATAGTATAAGTATGAGTAGGTACGTCCATCCGTCATTTCGGCCACAAAAACAAATTATTATCAATAAATAGCTGTTATATTATAATTCGAATCCGGATTTTTATTTTTTTACACATTGTGATTGAGTGTATGCAATCTTATGAGAATAATTAATATGGACGATTGGTTCAACACAAAATTTACAGAACAAACGATTTTTTTTGTGTTTGAGAATATTTTAAGAATTGGAGAAGATTTAATAGATTTTGGAACATTTTGTTAATTGTTAAAAAATATATAAATATATTATAAATTTTATCATTTTGATGAAGTAAAATAAATAAAATAAAAGATATTATACCCCTATCCCTCAAGCTAGATGCACTTACTCCGCGCTTTTCGACAACAACATATTGTTGCGTAGTTAAATGATAACCTGGCGCATTTGGTCCCTATATCCGAGTCTTTGGGGGAATGCACACATAGGTGTTCTCCTAGGCAATCGCCTTGGTTCACGCGTTTTATTAATATACAAATATACGATTCTCACCATAGCCATTCGTATTGCGGCGTGGTTTCCTGTACATTATTCGAGAATCGTTCGGTAATAAGATAGTTACGCTTGAAGATAGTTTCGTTTATCTATCTTGACCAGAAGTATAATTACACCTGTAATTGTGCTACAGGCCTAATCTCGATGCTATACAATATGACATACTTGTAGGAAATGATACGATGCCCGTAACGGTTTAAAAACACACACGCACCAGGGTGCGCCGATATATTGTACAATAATAATCGTACCAATTGGAAACCATGTGGGAGAAAGCGAAGAAAAAAATAAAATCAAGCAACGTATAAAAACGACAAATTCTGACTAATAAAATGTCAGGATCGCTGCCGAAACGGTTTCGTTTGCTTCCGTTTTGATAGCAACGCGATTACGTATACGTACATGTACGCACTACGTATATAGTATGTATAAACATATATAATATATATGTGTGTGTCTGCCGATTAAGGGACACCTAAAATGACCCGAAATAAATCAAGATTACGTTCGCGGAATCGACTGCGCGTTGTCAAACATTTATTATACTGTTGAGACAACTGCAGCAACAGCTCTCCATATCTCTCTCTCTCTCTCTCTGACTCTCAGTTGTGTATATAATGCAGTGTATTATATAGGCTGGGGTTTTTTTTTTTTTTTTGCGACGGCGGACTTTGTGCGGTCTGCGTGGGAGATTAACGTTAAGCTATACGTAGTTCAAACTCAATAGCAATTAATAACCGTTCAAATCTGATTGGTAATAATTAATAATGGATCTCTTGTTTTATCTCTCTGTCTTTCTGTCTCTCTCTCTCTCTCTCTCTTTCCGTCTCCGAAGTGCGGAGTGAGAGAGAGAGAGAGAGAGAGAGACAGAGAGAGTTTATAACTTTACATATTATAGTATACTTTTTTTGAACGACCGCGGGGAAAAGCGGCCGCAAACAATATATTATTATTGTGAGTACGGAAATCCATTTCGCGGTGATGGCGGTGGTGGTGGTGGTGTCATAACTTACCGCGATTTATCGTCAAAACTCTTAAGCCGACTGCGCAGTATTGGAGAGAACGCATATACTCGTATTATTGGCGCCCGACATATTGCAGGATACCAATTACCTACAAATACGAGTATAACAATACTATATACTACAGCTGTATAATATATTTGTCATTATATAATAAGAAGTTGTCGTGAAACAGAAACCGTTGGCTCCGACACACGTTTTTACAATAACTTTGCAAACAAATTATATCATTGTTTCGAGGAAATTCAATTTAAAAAAGACGCGCACACTTCGAACGATGGGTACAGCCACTGTTGTTTGTAAGAAGTCGGCAATTTAGGATAAAGAGGGAAAATTAATTTGTATCTGTTAGCAACAATAAACCATTACTTACGAAAAAACGATTCTGACCGGAGTTTAGTTGATAGTGATGCTTTATCACTAATATATATATGTTAAGGTGTGATTGTTGACATTTACCTATCATTTTGACGAATGTTGTAAATTTGTTCAAATACCTCACAACACGGATATTTACCGGTGTTTATTAACATAAAATAACAGTAAAATAATTAAATAGGCTTTATATCTTTTATTTAATAATATTTGTTTAATGTTGTACCAAATTTTCCGGTTTTTCAAATTTGCTGGGAAAACTTTTGAGAGAATCAAAAAATGACTTCTCTAAAGTACTCTCCCCCCAGTTAAATTTTCGTTTAGAAACATTGCTATCATTATGAGTTGGAGCGAAATTACTGGCAGAAAAGTTGTGCATAGAAAGAAAGAAGGCCGCAATATATTTTAACTAATACTTACATTTTTTAAATTTTCCCGTTTTTTTTTTTTCGGTTTTTCGCAATTAATGAGTAAAAATAAACTCTTGAGAAAATCGAAAAATGACCTCCCTAAAGTATGTCTTCATACTGATTTCCTTTCAGATGCTACACGTCAAAATCCAGAAATCTGAGTCTTCTGGTAGAGAAGATGCGTACAGATAAAAAAAAAAAAAAAAAAAGATCTTTGTAAAACTATGCGCTTCTTCGCCCCACTCAGAATCAAAAATACTGCTGACCAGAACTTTTTTCTTTAGCTTAACGAGACAAACATGGAGTATTTCAATTAGCTGTCCAGTGTCGGGACTACAGTTGTTCTCTCGCATGTCTTATCTCTTTTATCAATTATCAGTAAATTTCACTTGACACCGATTTGGCCAATTTGGTCCAAATACCTCTCGATTCTCTCTGACTAATGCTCTATTAGATACGTTATTTAAGAATTAATTCTACATACATAAATATAGTATATTCCATTTCTCCATATTTTTCAGAGGCCGTCACGGAGTCTTATTCCTTGTTGTTTTCTAATATATACCATTACGCCATTCACGGATTTCGAGCAACTCTTAAATATTATTTCGGCCGTTCTTCAGAATAACGCGGTGCAATCAATCATCATACGCACACCTACGGCAGCGAAAACAAATATCGAATCTTTATATAATATTTTACCGGCCACACACGTACGCCTTGCCTTAATAATAAATTACCAATTCCTTTCGTGCCGCCCACTTCTAATGAGTTTTTAAGCTAACCGCGAAACAACTATACAACAATCGGCGGCGGTGGCGTGGTTTAATATTATATTTTCGTTGTTGAAGATTTATGCTCACGTAAAACTTCCGATCTACAACTTAACGTTTTTTTCTTCTTTTTTTTGAGTTACCGCAAAAGTATTATAATATAATAATATGTATGTACCTACAACATACGTGGAAATATGTATTCATTTACGAATTAAGAGTATAGTCAGGTTTACATTATATACAATACGGTGTAATTGACTCAAACACTTCTGAGATAAATTCTAATAAGCCGGAGATTTCCACTCTCTACAGTATATCTTGAGGAATTCCGGCGATTTCTACACGAATGACATTACCCGTGGAGTCACAAGCTTACATACCATAATCAATACAATACAAATAATAATCAATAATAACAATGATAAAGTTACTACTTTATCATACACTATTTTAATAATGGATACGATAGCATCACTAGATCATGATGGACATTTTGTAAGATTATTATTGTGGTAGTATTATTGACATAATGCCATTTTGTGTCGTCGAAAATGTTTGAAGGTCATTCCATAAACGACTTTTAAAAAGTATTGAAATACACGGAGGTGATATTTAACATTTATTTTAAATATTATTTCTTTATTATCTGATAACAATTAATTATAAAACAATTCAATAAAAACAACTGAACTGGACATGATAAGCCAAAAATAGCAGCGATAATGATTATTTTTGGAAAAAATCGAGTGACCCCTTATTTCGTAAGAGAATTTTGCGATAAATTCTCTGGAATGGTATTTTTTTATTTTGTATGGGTATTTTACAAATAAAACGGGTAAAACCAAAGTTTTGATAAGAAAACAAAAATTCCAAAAAACCTATTCTTGCCAATTCTAGCCACACATAGAGTCACAATCCGTAGAGTTGGCCAGTCTTTTCTGATACACCCTGTATGTACTTCCAATAAATAAAGAGATTTTTATCATTTCTTGCACTGTTTATTTTAGAATCCCTTACGCCATACCCTATATTATGTTACAATCAAAATCCGTGGATTCGCTTGACGTATATAAAAAAATAAATCAGCCTACCGAACGCACTCTGAAGGTAATGGATGTTTTTCAAACATACCTAATAACATGTATATATTAACTGAAATGAATTTACAATTTCTGGTTTATAACGCGTACAAAAAATATCAAAAATACGTGGTAAAATAGTTTTTGCTGCAGTTTCTACCCTGCTTGTATTGTATAGTTGTATATAACGTGTGTACAACATCGTCAGAAAAAAATATTAAATCTGTATTATTGCTATCGGCGGAAGGTATACATATCTTATAACCAAATTCTAAAACTTAATGTCTAAATAGTGAAATAGGATAACAATAAAATTACAATGATAGTTTTTATATATATTATATATAATTTTTAAATAAATAACGCATGTGTTAAGTATATAGACTATACAGCATAAGGATATACGTTCAGAAATGATGACATTATATATATTTATTTATTTTATCGTGTCTAACCCGACGGATTCACTAAAAGTTTTCAAAAATCTTTGTCGATTTTTTGTATAATATTTAATATTTTTCTTTTACGACCCGAAACTTATATTTACGATACTTTTTAACTTCCGTGTATATTTGAAGTAAAACTAGAAATAAAAAAAGAAAACCAAAAGAAAGAAAACTAAAAACGCTTATAAAAAAAACTACCACTAAGTATGTGTTTAATTGAATATTGATTTTCTCAGTTATTAATAAAACAATAGGAAATTAAAAAAACCGATTTGCTTAATATACATAACTTCTAAAAAAAATGTAAATTCAACAAAATCAAATCAAAAAGATGAAAATCCTATTCATTTGAGCTAGTATTAAATAAATTAAAAGAAATAAAAATATTTTTTCTTTACGAGCGATTTTCGATTCATATTATGTATTATACTTAAATAACAATTATAATCATGGTGATGTGTACTTTTCTACTTATATGACTACGGATCATTGACAGTGGTGGATATGAAGCAGGAAGATATGGGGGGGGTTGTTTTTTTACATAATTCTTATATTCTTAAACTGGGTCTTTATTTTTATTTATAAAATACTAGATAGTAAATATTATATTAACATGGTGATGGGTACAGTTATTCGACATTCATTAGGACAAATAATAATTTGGGTGTATAATAACAGTCCGAGAGGGTAATTTCTACACCTATATTTAAATGTTTAATATTTTAATACTTTATATCACTAAATTTAAACGTACAGTTTTACGTTTAAATTTACTTATAGAATTTATTTATTACTTTATAGAAGAAGCAAGTGAAAAGAGGAAATTAATCAAAAATTAACCCGGATTTGTTTTGCAACAGCATGTTGAGTTGGTTTTCTTTAATGTGTGGTATGTTAATATGCGCTTGGGCCACGTTACTAAAAATGGTTCTTATCATTTTCATTATCATACAATTTTCAAATGGTTAAACCGCTGTTATCTACTTTGAGTAGATAATGAAATTTTTTTTTCAACCTGAAGGAACAACTACAATTCTTCAATCTGACCGATTTCTCGACTTTTCTTTTAGTCCTTAAAAGTATTAACTCTTGCATCAAATGTATTTGTACTATATATAGGCCAGTAGGAAAATTTAGTCCTTTATAGAAGTTTTGAGGACGTTCTGCAATTATTTTCTCTTCAATCTTACCCTATAATATGCAATATGTCTCAGGGCATGATCACCATTTTCCAGCGTCTTGATTTAATTACATTTTCATGGTTTTTCTCCCACAGTTTTAAGTACCTTCTTCGTTTGTTTTTCTCTCCATCCAACTCATCTTTTCCGTACGCCTACTGATATGCATAATAAAATAATATACATAATACATATTATATTTTAATTGTATTTGTGTTGTAAAAAATTTGTTGGGCGCTTCCAGATCCGTGCGTGCCTCCAACAACACTTCTAGTTTTTCTAGAAGACTTCTAGTTTTTTTTTACAGTATTATAAATTAACCATGTTTCACATCCATTTTATGTTGCGACATTCGATATATATGTTTTAATAAGTCTATTTTTAATATTTAGATGTAACTTTTTTGAAATTAATAATTTATGCTTTTAACTAAAGTAACCTAGGATTTGTTGTACAAAAACCTTCCACAATTTTCGCCGTCTAATAATATTCTCCGATCATCTGAGTGCGAGTATGTGTGTGTGTATAAGGTCCCAAACACGCTCGAATTCGTCTCTTTCTCTTGGACGATTGCTACATTCAACTGCTTATATGATTACGGT